CGGTCCAACGGCATCAAGTACGACAGCGACGGCACCATCAGGCTCGGCAGCGAGATGGAGGTCCCCTACTACCTGCCCATGCCCGCCGACCAGCGCGACGAGAATGGCGTGTACGCGCTCGGCCGGTCCGTCGCCGATGGCCGGTTCTACGCCATGCTCGACTTTGCCAACCGCCCCACCAGCATGCGCCGCCTCAAGACGGACGTGACCATCTCGCCCACCAAGGCCGGCTACGACATTGCGTTTGAGGTGACGGGCGAGCAGGACGTCGAGCTGACGTTTGAGCTGACATTCCGCGGCAACGGTACCTTCAAGGGCGTCAAGGAGCTGACCAACGTCGACGGCGTCAAGACGACGCACCTCGTCGAGGGAACGGGCGAGTACAGCGTCGGCAACGACAAGATCACCTTTGGTCCGGGCATCGGCGAGGGTCTGATTGTGGCCGACGGCGGCGAGCAGTACAGCTGGCACGCGGGCGCCCTCGTGCTCAAGGGGCAAAAGGTGTACATTACCGGCACGTCGCCGCTGAAGTACACCCTCAACCTGGGTTTCTCTTAGATTCCGAGACCGACGCACTTTTTGATTAGCTACTTGAATGAGATATCCCCCTGTGATCAAGACGCTTGGCATGTCTTTTTGCCGTTCTATACGCTGTCTTCTCCGTGATTGGCGCCTAGCTCGAGCCATGTGGTCATCCGGCAGGCCATGCAAGGTACACGTTCCGTGGGGGTACGATGCATAGAGAGTGCACTTCTTCTTTGGGGTAAAATCTCCGGATTGCCAACGATGTCGAGGCTCGCTCGTCTGGTCGGTGTCAAGCCACACCGATGGATGGGCCAGTCATGTTTGAAGCACTTGGTCAGGCTGATGTCGGCCGCCAGGACCCAAGGCCGTGGAGTGATTTTGTGGCTAGGTTGGACAGCGGGAACACAGACTTCGACACCTGATCGACACGGGCATTGGAGGCGAGATACACTGGTGCCCTAACCAACTCATGCCTATAGGTGGATCCCAAAGTGAGCGTTCTATGCGTCATGCATGACATTTTGATGTATCAATAATGGACTGAACCGTTCTCCTCGATTTTCCTGCCACACTGGTTCAAGAGTTACGAATTACATGTATCAACGGACTACCAGTGGCAGCAAGGAGTGCCTCGCATTGTATCAACTAGTTTGCAGCAATCAGGTACAGAAAAGAGTACCGTGACAATGAACACAAAGCTACTATCCATTCAGACATGTATTGATCATAGGTCATGCACGGCAACACATCTATCTGCTACCAGGTCTTTGCTTGACGGCGCTGGCAATTAGGCTACGTCAAATTTGCGCGTGCTGACTCACCCGCAACCTCCACGGCAGACAACCTCCCCAAGCACGCCCCCCCCCGCTTGTGCGCCCCAAGCAGCGGCACTGGCCGATGACCCAGCCGTATCGATAAGCGCCATTGTAGATTTCGGCTTTCTCCTTGCCCCAAGGTGCGACAGTGACATTCTTCTTTCTGACATTTTCGTCGTCGCCGCTTCCTCACGCCGAAACCCTTCACCTTCGGAGGAGGGCGATGTAGATTTTGTTTTCCAAAGAATGCTATCACGATCCATCGGCAGATTCATGGCATCCGAAGTCAAGAAAGTGCCCATCCCCCGCCGTGGGGTGGACTACCGGGGCAAAGTCGTTCTCGCGCCCATGGTCCGCTCGGGCGAGCTGCCTTCGCGCCTGCTCGCCCTTCACTACGGCGCCGACCTCGTGTGGGGTGAGTTGACCATGGTCCTCTCTTCGACGTCCACACCACCACTGACCCGGCAGCGCAGGCCCCGAAACGGTCGACAAGGCCATCATCGGAACCACCCGAAAGGTCAACCCCGTGACCAACACGATCGACTGGACGCGGATCCCCTCCTTCGGCCAGAAGGAGCCGCCCCCGGACGCGAAGGAGGCCGTCGTCTTCAGCACGCACGCCGCGAAGGAAGCCGGCAGGCTCATCTTCCAGGTCGGCACGGCGGATCCGGACCTCGCCGTGCAGGCGGCGCGCCTCGTCGCCGGCGACGTCGCCGGCATCGACGTCAACGCCGGCTGCCCCAAGCCCTTCAGCACGCACAGCGGCATGGGGCGCGCAGCTCCTGCGCACGCCCGACAAGATCTGCGCCATCCTCGAGGCCCTCGTCGCGACCGTCGTGGCCCGAGTTTGAGATTGGTGTCAGCGTCAAGATCCGCCTAATGGCGACGCCGCCCGAGACCGAGGCCCTCGTGCGCCGCCTTCGTCGCCACGGGCATCACCCGGCCTGACGGTGCACTGCCCGCACAGACGCCCTATGCGTCCGCGCGAAGCCCGCCCATCCCG